TTCCTTTTAAAAGGTGATTTTTCCATTGTTTACATGTCGTTTTGGCCACGCTCTTACGTGCCCAGAATAACTGTTTTTTGCGCATACCTATTTTGGTAAAATAAATATCCTTCCTCTGCCTATTTTAGGACAAACTAAATGCTTGAAACTTCGGGTTTTGTTTATAAGAAAAGAAATTGGGAGCAATATTAGCAATAAAAAAAACAATAGTTTTTAAAATGGGCGCTTATCATTTACAGAAGAATAAATAAATTTTGTTCCTATACAATTCTTAATATTTGTATTTATGAACTACAGGAAACAAATTTTGGGACAACGGAAAAGGCTTTTTCAACCATTATAGTTTAAATTTTCAATTAGAGAATCTTTGACAACTACCATTAACCGTTTAATGTCATACAAATCAAATTGTAACATTTAGCACGAACATTCCCTAAACGCACACTCTCAGCGCAAACATTATGCTCGGTTTAGACTCATACTGGTGGCCTTTCCTATCGATATTCTCTCGCATTCGCGCTGAGAAAAAAGTTGTAAAGTAGGCAGTCGAAACGTTGGAAACCTATGTCCTAGGACTTGGCGTCTACCGAGACACGCACGTTTCCAATTTTTTTTTTCTCCTTTATCTCTAATCAAAACAGATTTGAATACTATTTAAGTAATCGGCCAATCTTTTCCACAAGCTGCGTTTTAAAGCTGATTCGGGAACGTTGAACACTTATTCTGGTCAGATTTCACGGATCAAAGAAACTTGGCTAACGCCGCATCCAATTGTGCTTTAGAAAGACATCCATAAACCTTGGAAATCTAGCTACCTTATGCTCCACTTCTTACTTTGATAATACTTGGTAGCCATCTACGGTTTTCTGATGTTGATCCCAGGACGGTAGCGTCATCAAATAAATTGTAAAAGATATTACATTGATTTAGGAAATTGTTACACGACACGCTTCAGCATCGACAAATCAATGCATTCTGAGTAAAATAATCACTTTTCCAAATGTACATAGTTGTGGGGCTCCTTAAGAGTTTTCAGTAAGAGTAAGGGAAATATACGTTTTTTAATAGGTAGCTTTCTGTATACTAACTAGCATAATAGATATTCTATTGATTCACGAACTTCAGCTTGTGGTTTTTGAGTTTGAAAATAGTTATACAGTTTAGTTATTAGTGCAGTGTTATGTCATGGTACTGTTCTCATTTGATCAGAAGACAGACGGTGGCTAGTTCTTGCTCATGCATAACTTGATGATAAAGGTATGCCGAAAGACAAAGAGTCAAGTTGGAATCAGAAATGGTAAGTACCTCGTTTATCAAAATCGCACTTCTGATAGTTGCTTGATAATCAGAACTCGATAAAAGTTGACGACCTTTTGAAGGGCACAATGTGAGCCACAATGTCGGTTTTGGCATTGGAATACACTTCACTATACACTTGGTAGTGAAGAATTGGAAAAACATTTTAACGTTCTTAATTCATTATCCTATGTCGCGATGGGGTTAACACACAGAAGAAAATTCACACTAATCACATTATTCTCAAGTATGTTTTCACATTTGTTGCTTGCAAAATGTTCAACACAGTTTATTACGGTGATATTCAATGTTCAATTTAATAAATAACTGTACCCCTAGATTCATACCATTTGGATGTTTAGCATCGTAGATACAGCATCCAAATTAATTTGGGTAGCTTCGTTCTTGTAACGTGAGTATTAGGTATCATAATTACTCCACATCTTTCCATTGAAATTCGATTTTTATAGTAATTGAAATAGTAGAGCGCTGTTTGACATTCTAACTAAAAAGAGTATAATGGGTATCCTTTAAATAGAAACAAACTTAGTTCTCGTTCAATTCAAAATATATGTAATAAATATTCAATTTTAAGTAACTATTTCCGCGGACATTTTAAACCGCAAGCCTAGTAATTTAATGATGTATTTCCCCTTCATTACTTAAGCATTTCTATTTTTTGTGATCTTTTTTTTCCGTTATTAAAGGTGAGTGGGTCAGGTTTCACAAGAAAAAAATCCGGAAAATTTGGTCATTCAGTGCTTTCTCCACCTTACTTTTGGAGGGAGAACGACGCGTACTATTTCAAGTAAACTCATAGTTACAAATTAACGTTTGGCATTGCAACTGTACGCAGGCTTTAAATTCATCCATTCACCGTGTAAGAGATCAGAAATAACCGTTCTTTGAAACGTCGCCGTGATACATAAAATCAAAATAATTCAGTTATTTACCGTACCGAATGCACACGCGCATTCAGAAGCAGTAAACCAAAATGTGAACACTTAAATGGGGTTCTAGAGAATATTGGAAAGGAATAAATCAGCACATAAGCGTTGAACTCACTGACCCAGCGTTACTTGGAACTTTGGGCTGGCAGTTTGAAGAGGCCGCGGAAACAACTCGTACATCACCCTTCAACAAGCACCCAAAAGCTCCCGATGTGCCACTGTGTGCACTCACCCTGCTGGGAGTGCGCGCTCATGTGTTTGGGAGATGTCTGAAGCGGCAGGTACCAACGGTGGCGGGGCGACGACGACGGTGAGGACTCCCTGGGTCACCTGAGCTCTAATTCTTGCAATTTTTTTCTAACTCTGCCCCAAGGCCGCTACTTCACGTGTGGCGTAATGTTACTGCGTTTCGCGTCTTTCTCGTCGGTCCGCTAACGATTGTCGCCATGATCGCGAATCGCAGCTAGCTGCCTCTGCGGTCGGGATCATGCGGCAGTCTGGCGTTACCGAATTCGAAAAAAGTACGCAGATATAATGCCACCGTAACGTTAGGGCCTTTGAGGGTGTAAGTGTTAAATTAAATTGCAGTATAGCCTTGCGAGCATTGTTGATCTTGGCAGCTCGTCGTTGGTTGGTCGCTCCACCACTCGGGTGCGGTGTGGTGGTGTGGCGGTGTGGTAGGGAGCTGAGAACAATAGGCGTGACTGCGTGGCTTCCGCGCCGGAGTTTTTTAATGTAGGGCTATCCTGGACGACCCACGTGACTAACAAGCCACCGCAGTCGCGCTCTGCGGAAGCCAAAATGTTGTACGCTCTGAGGAAGGCCAATACGGCTGGCCGAATGTTAGCCACGTGTCAAGTGACGCGCTCGTTCGGATAGCCTAGTTTTATCAACAAGTAACCAATGGCGTCGCCCTACCTCGCTAAACGCCTGAGGGGCTTTGAAAAAACGCTGATTTAGATTTACGATTTTATGTAATAATTCTGCAATTAAGTGCTGGGAGAAACTTGGTAGCAGAATACACTAAAAACTTACATTACAGAACTTAACAACTATAACCATTTGCTTATTGTTCCGATAGGAACAGATTGTAAATTATGCAGAAAATAAAAAAAAATAAAAAAATCTTTACCGCTGGAAAAGGGAAGGAAAATATTCTAAAAATCTGTCTGCTTTGTAAATTCTACTTCGTGCCCAGAAAATTAATTTTAATGTTCGTCGCTGTTTTAATGGAGACTTGATGAGTTTTTGTCTTTTTGAATTGTTTAGAGACTTTTCGTACCGAGAAGGTCTACCACACAATCTGAAGGTACTGCATTCTTAGCACTAAACATAGTTTTAATTCATTTCATTTTTGAGACTCAAATGCCGGCTGTCATTTTTCTTGGTAGATTTTCTCTCATCAAGGTCTTTCTGTGAGCCTTTTGGCGAAAATTTACCTTCCAGTCACCAAGTGAAAAATGGTGTTCCACAAGGGTCAATTCTGAGTTTCACTCTGTGGATGATTGCTATCAATGGCATAGTTTTAATTATATGAAAGCCTGTGGAAGCTCTTCGTTGATAATTTCCTATTTTTTGGCTCGGCCAAGAGAATCCAATAAAATTGAAACTCGTCTTTAATATACTGCATTAATGAAGATTGGATTCAAGTCTTTCACCGGATATTACACTGCATGCATGTTTTGCAGGATTTATCTCCCACGCAACTATTCAGAATTTTTCATTTAGGTCTACTTTTTTGTTGCGACTTTCCTTGACCTTACATTCAACAAAATTCTAACATGGTGTAATCACATACGTAAGCTGCAGATCCTATGTATGTCAGAGTTGGACTTCTTTTGCATACTTAGTGGTCGCTCACTAAACACAGGCCCCTTGCGGTTGAATAGGAAGCTTCTCTTCTCCGTTTACTATGGACCAACTTGATTTATTTTGATCGATTTTGATGATGCGAAACTGTCAACAGTAGATACACCCTATAGCCAAGCTATTTTTCACCCATATTATCGGTCATCATTAGTCTTAGACAATTCTTACCCATTTACCTAGTATCCTATAGTTTTTATAGGCTGTTGCGAAATCTCAACTTTAACTCACTTATCTGTGAAACTGATTGAGTGGGAAATTGCCGTTAGCACTCACAGATCCAGTCAAATTACTACACAACTCCCCCTCATTGAGGGAGGGAAGGTCAATATCATTTAAGCACAAACCCAACTGCGAATCTGTCGGCAAATCTGTAAGGGGGGAGGTCCCTGCCCACTTCTTTATTGCAGCACATTTGGCACTAGCGAAATGGGAACCGCGAGAAAGTTACCATGGGAAACGTAAAGTAACCGTAAGAAACTCATCAAATCGATTTAATGTTTCCAATCCTCCATCAAAACTAAAATCGGTACCCTAGTCTCCCTTCCCGCAAAACGATGTGGTACGTCTGTTTCAGTAAGTTCGAGTCAGTTCGAGTAAGTCAGGTTTTCACTGAAGTTCAGTTTTGTTTCCTGAGATTTATTCTGACCTTTAATATATTCATCGGAGATAGTGCCCGGATTAGTAGAGTACATGTTAAATATGGGATTGTTAGCCCACTGAATGTAGGTTTTCAATGAAATTACACTAATAAGCGTGATATAGGAAGAGTTATAGTGATTTTGTTTTTATCTTATTACAAGATCGATTATCGTTTATTCAGACAAGAATTTTTGTATTAAGTAGAGAAAAATCTGCTTGACATCCTCTAACATTTTCTGTTTTCAGTTCTCAAAAGACGAAATCACCTCATCGTTGGATGCAATGGGTGACCCCACAATTGCTATCAGTACACAAAGACAGGTGATTACCATTGGAAGCGCTAGTGAACCTCAGCGACTATGGCAGTTTCTTGCAGCAATCGTAGGTATGATTGTTTATTATATATTTAGATTTGCAATTATTGTCAATTATAGACCATGGTATATTATTTATCAAAAGAAGGAATTCTATGGAAGATTGCAAATGCTTATTTACTAGTTTTGTGTTGTTTACAATGACGATTCTCGTATTTGCGAGTAAAAGTGCAAATAACTCTATAAACTCACTAATGTCTACGGGTGATGCTAACGTCAGATGATTGGATGTGTTCATGTATATGTGTGTGCGAGTTTATGACATGTATTGGATGAGGTCTTGAATGACTGAGCATAATCCCTTGGAACAGAGCTCTATGGAAATTATATAATTTTTCATTCAGAATTGCGTAAAGTGAAGTGAAAACAATTTCAGAGTTTCTTGTTTCTGAAAATGTGGAAGATAAAACATGTTTCACTATTTGAAATAGTAATAGGTGTAAGAAATTGTTGATCATTTTTCGGTAGCCTGATAGAAAGACTGAAGGGGATTCTGAATCCATGAATCCTCAATCTACAGATGATTGGAGAAGTAATAATGTAAAAGTAATAAGTGTTAATCACAAAGTAATCCTCTTGTTCTAGCCTAAACAAGTAGCAAATCAATATTAGAAGCAAAAGTGAGCCCATGTATATTATCTTGTTGAATTATAGTGTCTCCTATTGGTTGATTATTATAAAGTAATTTCATGGATTTGTTGATTATAATTTCATTTAATAGTATATCTATGATAAACTACTTTTATTCATGGTATATCAGAATAAATTATTCAAATTGCTAAAGCGTATAAAAAGTACAAGATGATCACTTTCGACCAATGAATGAGTGGTTTGGAAACATGTCATAAAATAAAATTATATACAAGACATTTTCCCCAGGCAACTCATCCACCAACGGTGGTATGCAAGTAACCAAAATATCTGTGACTGCATAAAAATGTGTATCTCCAAGAAACAGTGCCCGATGATGTCATGTCACATGTTCACACATCACAACTTCATTATATGACATTTCCCATCACATATTCATTGACAATAAATTATTATTTCTACACCTCCTACATGTTGTAGAAATGTCTGGCATTTACTCTGAGACATTAGTATTATATATTATAATATTCTTTTCAGTGACAATTGGACCTTTTGGATTGGGAAATGCCCTGAGCTGGAGTGCACCCGCGAACAGCTTCTTAAAGGATGATAAAGGATTTACGATAGAACAAACGTCTTGGATTGGAGCTTCCATGGCGCTTGGTGCTGCTGTAGTTGTAATTCCTTGTGGGGTCCTTATGGACTTCGTTGGTTTGAAGAAAACTATGTTATTGTTAGTTCTGCCCTTTTTTGCTGGATGGATGCTACTTGTATTTGCAGATGATGTAAGTATATATATCAAAGTTTTTGGACCCACACAATTGTTTTAAAATACACACGTGTCTCGAAGTTGGTTAGTTAATGCTATATTTTACGTGGCGATAGTCACCATCAGGTCCCTTCTATCGTCTCAAATTTATGTATGCTCCTTTCACCCACTAGCTGAGAAAGGAGGTACCACTCGGGCAACGAAAGAGGTGATTTGAATTTAGCTCAGAGGCGTCGTTTAGGCTTGAGGATCTTTTACATGCAGTAAATCTACTAACATGGGAGAGCTGGATTTACTTCTCCTCCGAAGGAAAGCGTACGAACGAATTTTTCGCCCTTAAAAATCTAGGGCTTCGATCGGGTTTGAACCCGCAAACGTGGGCACAACAGCCCGATACAATAACCACCTACCCCCCATGTTAGGAACTTCGGATGCCAGTAGAGGTATCCAAAGTAATCAATTTTCCACTAAACATGTAGTGGGACATTTCTAATAACGAAGTTACACACATGATATTTGCCCCTGATTAGCAGGCAACCCACTATGCACTGGAATTCGGTGGGAAAATCAGATTATGTCTAGATGTGATATGCCAGACACCAATGTATGCTGAGTTGCCTATCAATCCGGGGCAAATATAACGTGTAATTTCTATGTATGAAATTTACCACCAAATCTTCATTGGGAAATGTAAAGATAAATATGATAAATTTCTTTGATCTGCAATTAGGTATAATCCGTTGGCAACTAATTACATAAGGTAATATAACTAACAAAAAATTATATAATAATATTGGTACAATAATAAAAATCATAGCACAACGACAATAATATAATATTAATAATAATAATAATAAGAAGAAGAAAGAAGAAGAAGAAAGAAGAAGAAGAAAGAAGAAGAAAGAAAGAAGAAGAGGAAGAAGAAGAAAGAAGAAGAAGAAATAAGAAGAAGAAATAAGAAGAAGAAATAAGAAGAAGAAGAAAGAAGAAGAAGAAGAAGAAGAAGGAGAAGCAGAAAGAAGAAGAAGAAGAAGAAGAAGAAGAAGAAGAAGAAGAAGAAGAAGAAGAAGAAGAAGAAGAAAGGGTTCAAAGGTTTTTGCATGTGACTATCTTTTAACCAACAACATGCCCTCAATGTATGTAAGATTTATTCCGAGGTACGTGTGTTTAAGTGAGAGGGAATGAGTTACTTGAAGCAAGAACATCCGACCGTGTATGATCGATTAAATAGATCAATGTTTCTTATATCAATCTTTTCTGAGAAATGATTCGTCACTCTTGTTGACAATTTTTCTTCTGAAATGTCCGAAATGTGCTTAAAGGGAGTCGAAGTATTGAGCATATTTTCATGTATTGTGAAGGAAACAACAAAATGTTTCAGATATAGATTATGAAAAACGAAAATATGTGAATTAAAGGAATTAATGTGTATACGCCTCCCTCCCTAGAGCGGTCTTTATGCACCCCACTTTAAGGCGCGAGAACAGCCCACCAGCTGGCCGTCAGAATCGCAGTGACCGATAGTGACCTCTCTAGTCTACAACAATCCTCGGAGTCTTGGAAATGCGAAGTTCCGATGACATACAGATTGTGAAGAAATTTGAAAATTACAAAAAAACACTTTCTTCGAAAATCTTTACTTTTGATGTGAAAACTGTAATTATTTATTACAATTATTATGAGTAAAACACAGGTGCTTTTTCCCATGAAAACCGTTTCTTTTTATAATATTTAATTTCAATGATTCATTAATTCTTTATTTGATCTAAATATCACCAAATTGCGATACTACGAAAATTGAGCTTATATGGAATTTCTTGGGCGTAATGAAAAGGGAATAATGATGTCATGGATTCAATACACTGAAATTACTCGGCCTGTCTCCTACGTTTCAAACGCAAATATAAAATGTTTACGAAACGGTAGTTAAGACAGTTTGATCTTTCGCAACGGAAGCTTCAATTTGGTTGGCCTTGGAAGGCATCTGAGGTGATAACCAGATCAGTACAAACATTTAACGGACGAAATGACACAGGAAGTCTAAAAATTGATAGAAGGCTTGATTAATGAATCGTGGTCTTGAGTTGACTATGAAAATATAAACTACTAACAAAACACCCGGCGTAGGCCTTTTTTTCGTATTCATTCTTTGTGAAAAGAAATAGGTCTTCTGTTGTCTGTCTGTCTCTCTCTCACTTTCTTTCTGTCTCTGACATTGTCTCTCTCACCCTCTCTGTTTGTCTATCTCAATGTCTGTCTCTCTGTCTTACTGTTTCCCTCTATTCCTGTGTCTGTCTCAATTGCCTCTGCATCTGTGTGCCTCTGATTTTTCTCTGCCTCTCTCTCTCTCCGTGTCCCTCTGTGTCTTTCCGTGTCGTCTTTCTCTTTCTCTCTGTGCCTCTGCCCCTCTCTTTTTCTGACTCCCATCGTCTCTCTCTCTCTCTCTCTCTTCTCTCTCTCTCTGTCTGTTTGTTTCTCTCTCTGCGTCTCTGTCTCTTCCTGTCTCTACCTATGCCTCGTTTGCCTCAGTTCGCCTCTGTCTGTCTCTGCATCTCTCGGTCTGTTTGTATGTATCTGTCTCTTACTCTGTCTCCTATCTCTTTCTGTCTGTCTCGCTCTTTGTCTCCGTCTCTTGTCTCTCCCAGTCTCTCCGCCGCTCTCTCTCTGTGTCACTCTTTCTCTCCCCCTCTCTCTCTTACTTACGCGCGCCGCCTCTCTCTCTCTCTCTCTCTCTCTGTGCTTCCATCACTCTCGGCATCTCTCCGTTACTCTGTCTCCCTCTATCTCTGTCTCAATCTGTCACGTGCTCGTCCGTTCTCCTGGGCCGAACTCTGCGTCACTCGGCAACGCTCAGCGTCACACAGCAGCGCAACAATCAAGCTCGTGTGGATCGCAGTTTGAATGGAAGTTGAATTAAAATGAAGCTCAATTTTGTTCTGCAGCGCCATTTATTAGAGTTACAGCAATATTAACAGCACATTAACCTTGTTGGTGAAAAGACACATTGACGTGCCCACTTTCATGGAGATCAGTCACGCGGTGTCTGTGTTTACCGCTTTTAAATATACCAACATATATGTATGTATACACACACCACACATGTACCTATATGATACTTATATATATATTATTAGAAGAGAGAGAAGTCCAGAGAGAGAGACCGAGACCCCTAGGGGGGGGGGGAACGAGACCGAGGGAGAGACGAGCATAGGGGAGAGATGAGAGAGACGAGAAGCAAGAAGCAGAGTGAGTGTAGAGACGATGAGAGACTGAGAGAGAGATTTTGGGCGCTCGGGACGACTTCTCTCACGCTGCGTCGATCAGTGATCCTGTAAGGAAAAAAACAACCTTGTATTCCGTTTCGTTCGCAGGCAACTACGGCAAATCCTTGGATATACCGAAGTTCCAGGAAGGGAATGCCGGACGTCCGAGTGTAGACGCTCCCCTTCCGTACAACATCGAAAACGAGCACGCTGAAGAACCTGAATTTCCCAACGTCTGCCCTGTCACTTCGAGTCACTTGTGATTGTTGTGCCTTGAATTTAAGTACGTCGGTCTTGCGTACTTGTGCTACTGTGTGCTTGTGCCTTTTATTGAAGTGCGTTGCTCTTGCGTACTTGTGCTACTGTGTGCTTGTGCCTTTTATTGAGGTACGTGGGTCTTGCGTAACCTGCAAGAAACATGCAAATCTCTGCAATAAAACATCCGTCTTTGAAATACCGTGCGTAATACTTAACGATATAGCTACTTACCGCCACGTGAAAGCACTCAACGTGCAGTGGCGTGGGCACTAAACCGCCTAAGAACGTGGACACTTATGGCTGTGTGTTCGAATCCCTCATAAGGCATGGGTGTTTTAAATTGTTTGTCCGTGGGAATTGTCCCCAGAGAAGCGAAATTTACCGTGAGAGCCCTAGGTAGTACCCTCAGGCGCCGATAGAAGGCAGCCGGGATGGGGGTGGGGCAAAATGGAAGAAGTTATCCTGACTCAAAGGAAAGTGGAACTAACTACTAAGGAAAAAGTCTGTCCAATTGTATAGCACCTTCAGCCTTATTTTAAATCACCAATATGTATGTTCTGAACTGGAAAAGAATCTTCAAAAACTCGATTAATCGAAGTTCTGGAATATTAATTTCCCAATTATTTAATAAACTGTCAGTAAAACTGTTTGTAACTATTTTTTATAAACCCAAAACTTATATATTGTATTAACTGAAATCGAACCGGAACATAACATAAAACTGTTACATTTAACGTATAATGTAGCCAGTCGACTACGTTAAATTGGGGTCTAATATTGGTGAAGTTAAACTTGACAACAAGCTGAATGTTGAGGCAACTATTAAAAGATGTAGATGTAATGGTTTCAAAAGCCGTCGGTAGGGGAATGCGAAATCACTACAGGAAGACAAAAATAACTTTGGACATCATTAAAATATCAGTTTATTGAATGGTTTTATTTTTGTGGTGGTTTATGTGTTGGTGTTTTTATGAAATTTCATTTATTGGTTTTCATATGTCATGTTTTTTGTTATTTTGAATGTTGTTTTTATCGGTGATTTGTAATGGTTCAGCAAGATCATAAAGGTTAAGAACATACAATAGTTGGAAAGAAATGATGTTCGATGGAAAAAAAACGAAAATAAATGTTGCAATCGGATAGTTTCAAGCTGATCTTGTCATTACCAAGGCGAATTCTCTAAACGCTTGTTTTGTTCGAATATACGGAGTCTCTGTATTATATTGGCGTTTTAGACGGTACGAAGAAAAAACAACATAAAACTGTCAAAACATACTGTCACAAAGTGTACAAAATGTTTTAAATTGTTTACTGGTAAATGTATTTATTCAAACTTCTTATTTATTGATTCCTGAAAGAGCATAATTTAATATAAAAATCAGAAACTAATTTTCATATTTGTTTTCAGCTTTGGATGTTTATCCTTGGTAGATTCATCACTGGTATGATGGGAGGAGCATTTAGTTTAACTGCTCCGGCATATACCAGTGAAATAGCTGACGTCCAGATTAGAGGAATGTTGGGCAGTTTTTTCGATTTGATGCTGACAATTGGCATTCTATTTGTGTACATTCTTGGTGCTGTACAACTCAATGTCAAATTATTGACGAGTATTTGTGCAGCTTTCCCTCTGGTATTTGGAATATTATTTCTCTGGATGCCCGAGACGCCCACACAACTGCTTAAAAAAGGAAAAGAAGAAGAAGCCCGGAATTCACTTCAGAAGTTTCGAGGACCTCATTATGATATTGACGATGAGATTCGTGAAACAAAAGATGCTGTAGAGACAGCAAAACATATGAAGCTTTCATTCATTCAATCTTTTTCTACAAAAGCTGCACGAAAAGGGTTGTTAATTACTTGTCTATTGATGGCCTTCATTCAACTGGGTGGAATCAATGCTGTGATTTTCTATGCAACAGATATTTTCTTAGTGAGTTGCCCTTCACTTATTGTGATATTCAAACATATTTTTACTTGAAGTGCTTCGACGTAAAATGTTATCTTGATAAACTGTTGAAATTGTTGTTTTGAATTGAATTGAACATAATATATTTTTCTAAATTAAAAATGTGTATTTTTACAGAATGTTGGCAGCTCATTGGAAGCTGATACATGTACAGCCATTATTGGCGTTGTGCAAGTTGTTTCCACATTTATCTCCTCACTAATTGTGGATCGTCTTGGACGTCGCATCCTCTTGATCATTTCAGGTCTTGTAATGTCAATTTGTTGCGTACTCCTTGGTGTCTATTTCTACTTAGACGATAAGGAGGATTTTGTTGCAAACGATATTAGTTGGTTGCCTCTGGTAAGCGTGTGTCTGTTTATTGTTGCCTTTTCATTGGGTTATGGTCCAATCTCATGGTTGCTGGTTAGTGAATTATTTCCGGCAAATATCAAGGGGAGAGCAAGTTCAATTTCATGCATGGTAAATTGGTTCATTGCGTTTCTTGTTACAAAATTCTTCAGTAACCTAGAACAGGCCTTTAAACTTGGCCCAACATTTTGGATTTTTGCTGCTATATCAGCAGTTGGAACCGTATTTGTTTATATTTTCGTTCCTGAAACGAAAGGGAAATCTCTTGTCCAAATTCAGAAAGAACTTGGCGGTAATGAGGCAGAAGCAAATATTTCAGTTATACCATAAAAATATGAAGTCGAATTTAATTCATTCTTTGTGGTGTTGCACATATGTTTTTAAATTGGAAACACTGCGTCGTGCAGTATGAGAATAGCAAGTTGTGTTTTAGTAATGAATGTATGTGCATTTTTGAGGTACCTTTTTCTCACCTACCGCCAGTGACAATTCGTCAGACAGTGAAGAGGCACTTCAAAAATATATGGACTCGGATAACCGAGTTAAAGTGAAAAATTAAAGAAAAGGAATATTCGAAGAAATGCTGTTTCTAAAACATCTCTCGCAGTCACCCGCACCCGTGTCATTTGAATGTTTTTTTCTACGAGCCTCTTCTTTCTGAGTTATGCTAGCATGGCAACAAGCTCACCGTATCCCTTTGTGCTCCATGAAAGTTGAATGGGAAGTTCTGTGTCGAATATCATAACGTATTGCTTCTGTAGCTTGACTCCGTCAAAGCGAGGTCGCGCGAGGACACACGCAAGGCAACTGTAGTTGCTTTCTCCATGCACGAAAAATAGTGCACCCCTATACGTACGCCATAGCGGTGCATTCCAATGATGCGCCCACAGCGACCGCGTATATTTGCAGGTGCAGCGAAACGTTCCGCGTCAGTCACCGGGTATTGTTCTGACGCACTTCTTACGGGCAGTTACTTCAATGACACTCTAATGTACCTCACTATACAGGTTTACACTCGTCCGCGTCCTTTAGCACGTGTTCCGCGCTCACAGCGTAATCTCTCTTCGAGGATTAATCTGCAACTGCCACGCCTTCCGGTGTTCGCTCGACACCGGTTTTCCAGTCTCAGTCCAGTCCAGTGGACTCACCAGCTCGTGGTTTCTTCCATCTTCAAAGGCAAACATGCACGAGTTCCAACTACGCACAATCTCCGCTTCTTATGGCCCATTCACAATGCGAACATAAACATAAGCATAGCGTTAGCATAAAAGTTAGGGCTGCGTCCATAAGTGGACCCATTCGCAATGCGTGCGCGTGAGCATAACACGTAAGACGTTAACTTAAAATCTAGCAAGCTTCATGCTTGTGAACCAAACACAGTACGTTAACTCAAAATCGAGAATCGAAAGGGGAGAGAAGTCGATAAACGAACTAACGCCATATGAGCCATGAACGCAGTCGATACCTGGAAATCGATTATCACATCCAACCAATAGTAAACCAGAATGCCTCACAGCCAATAGAAACTCTTCTTTTTCTTACGTTTATGTCAGACATTGAGGATACTTCAGTCTATCACATATGTTAATGTTTACGTCTATGCTTTATGCTTATGTATACGTTTGCATTATGAATGGGCCTTTACAGCGCCAGGCCTGCATGGTGACGGTGCACTCTTCAGTCGTTAAGTCGTCAGATTTAAACATAGTGGCACTTCAAGATCACGAGCGAGGAGTGATGTACAGTGTCATCCAATGTGGAGCTCCATTACAAAACATTTAAGTCATAACGAAGCTTCGGTTTGGATGACCGTATCATCCGTCCGACTCATCACCTTGGAGTGCCACTAGGTTTAAATCACAGTACAATGGCATCTCTAGGTCTCCAGCGGGATGAACAGGAAGACACTGTCATCCAATCGAGAGCTTCGTTATGGTTTAAAATTTGGGTATTGGAGCTCCCGATTGGATGACACTACCCCTATCCTTTCTGCTTGTGACCTTGAAGTGCCACTACGTTTAAATCGCAGTACAATGGCACTTCAGGGTCACGAGCTCGACGGTGAAGAAGACATTCTCATTCAATCGGGAGCACTAATACCAAAACTTTAAGTCATAACGAAGCTCCCGATTGAATGACACCTCCGTATCCAATCAAAAGACAGAAGAAGTATCTCTTGGATGTATAATATTGTAATAGAATAAATGCTCCAACACCCATGTATACTAACTGTAAATATAACTTATTCATTGGACGTTTCTTTTACCTTCATCCTGCGTTCTCCTTCTTGGTACGCTTGATACGCTTGGTACGCTTGCTTCAATCACAATTGAAGTGTGACCGCTATCACTTCATAAAATGGAAGTAATTTCGGGTCCGAAGTCCTCAGGAAGCTGAAGCTGAACTCCATGATGTTGCTGTCGATGAAAAGGCGACCCGCAAACATCTCGTCCAAGGCCGTTAATAAGCCAGGAGTCGCTTCCACGCCTGCTACCTATGCTGAAGCGGATATTCTTTGTTCCAGTGCCAGCAAACGTTTCTTTTGACAGGTTCAGAAACAATTGAGCATCGTCGAACACCTCATTGCTCTGTAAAACGTAGGTATTCTCCCGCATGCTTAACGAGCCTAGCGTCAACTGTTAACGCCTGTTAAAGCAGGTCTGCACAGCGTTTTGCACTTTGTCTGACCTCGAGAGCCGCGCGTGGGCCACTCGAGTGCAAATGCGGAGATATTGCCGACCAGTATTACGGACTTCTCTTCGGGTTTTTAGATCGTGACCACGGCATCGTGTTTGGACATCTCTTCGGCTTGTGGTAAATTTGGCAAGTCCCCGGTAATCTCCTAGTTATTTTGTGACTACGCATGTTAAAGGCTTTCTCTGTATGCCCGGCAATTGTGAATAAAATACTGTTTCATGAAATTAACTTTTTTTGCAGTTGCTCTTGAACTTGTGGGTAGATGTACACATTCCCTCACGAACCTTTATTTTCATATCTAACGAAAAAGACCAATAAGAATATTGCTTTCCCCACTGCGCTAATCGCCGCTGCCACCATCGATTCTATATTACGTTGCTTTCTAAGCTAATTGTCAGTTTTATTATCGAACTGGAGCTAACCGGTCAAAAAATCAAAAACACAATATCCAAAATTTGTTAAAAACAGTATTTAATGCGAGGTGTCTTTCTTTCGTTTTAATATATTTTTATAACAACTTAAAATTGCTCTAAAAACGTTCTAATTAACACTTTTCATGTGGGGAGGAATACGTGAAATTTATTACGAGAAAAGTAAGATTCAGCTAAAACCACATCCAGATATAGAAAGATTGTCCCCCACCACATGAAATCAAGAGAGCTGCCAATCAAAAACAATTTAGGGAACCCTACCTGGTTTGCGAATTTTGCAAATTCTCAAACACCTAACTCACTACAATCACCTGTACACCAACATCAAAATCACCGAAATCATCAAAACTACCGAACCGCGCACAGCGAAAACTAGCGAATTGTACAGCCAGATTCGTTCCAATAGCACAAAATAAAGATGTGATTATTTTGCGATTAGGTCGGTTAATATTTTTTATTGTTAACGAGCACATCCTATCCGATTTTTTGGCAGCATGGCCTTAAACCATAAGTTGCAAATGTAAATAAATAAATAATCTTGCTCCAGGTGCTTGAACATAACGATGCAATAGTAGTCTGGAGGAAATTGTTGCAGAATCATGAAGAGCTGGATTGTAACTACGCGTTTTTTACTATTCCACTTGCATCTTAAGACAAGTGTGACAAAAGTGTTTACATGTCAGAGACGTTCAAGGCGCCTTTCACCATGAAATAATATGTACAGAAGTAAAGTAATAATTTAGATCTTACATGTATGATTATTTTTTTATTTTTTGAATATTTAGATTTTTATGGAGATCTGCTCCATTTATTCATTGTTGCTCCACAAATTTACTTGAAAAATGAATTCAAATTGTAAAATAACTCTACAACAATGCAATCATAATGCAAACAGCATTGATATTTGTTTGTTTGACGTTTGTTTTATATAGTTTGATTATTACTACTGATTAATTAATGAATCACGTAATACAAAAAAGTATGTTCGACCGAGAATTCAATTATATTACGACAAAATAAAATAAAAATATAATCAAAGATACGGGAAGAGTCAGCAAAACTCGTTTCAACATTTTAATGAGATAAAACTTATTTTAAAAGTAATGTACGTAATAAATTTATTTCGGGACAAAAATGTGCTTCGTGTATTAAAATTTCAATGCTTAAATATTAATATTTGGATGATATTATAAATGTAAAACTATGAAAATAAATTAACCTAAAGCACAAAAGTTAATTCTGTGTCATATTAGCATTCAATGGAAGCAATTCCTGAAACAATGTTTTCATAACATCTGCCGGTTGTCACACGTTTATTTTAGTAGTGCACTAATCAAGAAAAATAAAACAAGTTGCGAACTCTGCTCAACAAGTCGCTGTTCGAAGATGTGTATCTTGCAAGGTTGCGCGTAGACGTCTCTGCCGTAGTCTTTTCCTTTGAAGACCTTTCGTACACTTTTCAACAGGGGCGTCTGCAGAGATCATTTTCGAGAGACTTTTGTCATACATTGCCTACGGTGCTTTCGGCCCGCCTGACCCGCATCACTAGCGGCATTCGGCATCACTAGCGGCTGAAGCTCATTCCATCAGGACAGTTGCGTTGTAGAGCCTTGCGACTAGAGAACCGTGGCGATTTCGACTAAAAGATTCTAAGAATGTTGATAGGCAAGGAAGAGCATGAGACTTCCTCTTCTCATCAAATTCAAATATCAAATAGCTAACCTTCTGACGTGATTGGAGTTTGTATGGAATAAGGCATATTACCTTTAATAATGAGAAATAAAAAAATTAAAATTAAAAAAAATCCCTTAGATGTAAAAAAATCTGTAGTTTTTACCTGTTTTCCAGAAAGTGGCCACCCTATAAATACAATTAGTTTTATTTTGCACCATTGGCAGGTAAGAATAAAGTTTGGGGAGATTCTTCCTCTATTGTCGTATACCAATTGCCTATGTTGTCTGCTTAAAAAGGGGGGAAATCAGAAAATGAAAACTATCCACGGAAGTTCAATTTTAAATAACGTAGAAATTTGGAGCCCCACTCGAAATTTTGAGAGGGGATGCCCTTCCCCCCTGTCACCCTCCTCCCTGTGCGCGCGTCAATGCTCGGCCCCACCTCTGTGCTTGAACCATTGCTATGGGATTAGCAGTCCAATTTCTTAATCAAACGCAAAAATTACACATACTTGCCTGACAGGACAAGAGAATGTGAAACGTTTATGATATACTCGTAGGCAGATGTAATGCCCTCCACACCTCAAACACAACAGAAAACATTCATGTTTTAGGTGGATTTCAAACCCTTTCTCTTAGTGTCCGCGTACGTTTTCGATCATCTACCTCTCATCTACCTCGTTTTACAAGGCCGAAGAACTTGTCCATACTATTTTAAACGTGTTACAGCTTTGAAATACAGTACGAGTAGAACCTCGCTAATCCGAAATTTCGGATAATCCGAACCAAATTCAGGACGGAGGAAACTATACATAAAAAAATGTTCACTTAAAAAGAGAAAATTAAACATTTCCCGGAAAAATAATACAAGGATTACACAAGGAATTAAAACATCGTGTAAAAACAAACGCACGCTTTACTTCACATCTAAACATGATAAAGTGTCACCCGGTTTCCATGTCTACTTCCGAGAAAACTAAAGAATTTTTAGGAAAGTAATAGTTCAGTCGAAAATAATGACAAATTATCAGGATATTTTTAACGCTAGTAACAAAACTAAAGCAATGAAAAATATCGTAAAAATTATGATCACATTATCTCGGTACTTAGTAGAGAATGTTGTTTGAAGGATAATGAAAGAGAAGCAAGTAATCTGGAAAAAGTGGCAAATCTTTTCAACCAACACTTTTCTAGAATTGCGGCAGAACTCGCGAAGGGACTAAAACCACAAAATTCAACATCATTCTCTTCCCAAAACATTTTCGACAGGACCAAATTATTTCCGAAACTTCAAGCAAAATCCTGAATAGTCAGTAAACTAAAAAATAAGTATTCATATGGTTTAGATGAATTTACTGCTTGTTTATTGAAAACTTGTGTACCTCCCTTTGTACTACACCCGTTAACTCTCATTTTTAATACATCTATATGCACAGGAATATTTCCAGATATTTTAAAAACAGCAAAAATTAAGCCATTTTTTTAAAAAAAAGAACAAAAATGAATTTCAAAATTACCGGCCAATTACTCTTTTGTCAGTTTTCTCTAAAATATTAGAGAGGCTAAAATATTATGCGAATGGAAACGTTTCTTAGAAAAAATGAAGCGTTTTCAGATTCACAACACGGGTTTAGTAAATCAAAATCTACAAAAACTGCCATTTTTTCTTTTCTTAAAGATGTTGCTTCATCAATGGTCCAAAATGAAGCACCCATTGGAATATTTTTAGATCTTTCCAAAGCTTTTGACGTTATTAAGCATAACATCTTGCTATCATCATTATCTTCTTCTGAAATTCGTGGTGTCGGCCTGGATTGGATACCCTCGTACCTTAAACATCGATCTTAAAGAGTAAAAACACCGTACTAGCACGAAAGAACATTATTTATTTATCTTTCCAATTCTTTACCAATTGAATATGGGGTCCCGCAAGGTTCAATCTTAGGTCCTATCCTCTTTCTGATATTTGCAAACGATATGCCCTCATCTATTAAAAACGGAAGAACAGTTCTGTTTGCCGATGACACGAATAGTCTTTGCAAAAAAGAAACAATAAATAGTACGATTTCAGAAGGTTCAAATTAGTTTTGTAATAACAAGTTAATAGTTAACGAAGGAAAAACATTTTCAATACATTTTTGCATTTCAAATCAGCAATCGCATGCTCCATTGAAAATGAACTATATACAATTAGATGATGTTAAGATAACAAAATTACTAGGTCTCTCAAATCAAACTTCAAATGGAATGTACATATAATAGAATTAAAAATAAATTAAGTTCATTATGTTACGCATTCAGAATTCTTTCAAATTCTGCCAGCCTCCATGAAGCTTTAGATTGCAATCCAGACTTTTAGATTGAAAAAGAAAATTATACGAATAATGAAAAAATGCCATCCGCGTGATCCCTGCAGGCCTCTCTTCATTGAACTTGGAATCTTACCATTGCCTTGCCTATTTATTTATTAATCTGTAATATTTGTCAAAACTGACTTATTTAATAGTGGGAACATATTTTCACGCAATACTGATAATTATAATTACAACACACTTCGTAGAATTCAAGTATCAGTATTAATAGCTCACTACCAGAAATCATCACACAATACATTTACGTTACTTACAAAGCATTGTCAGATAACAATTGATTAAACAATTGAAGTAGATACACAAATTTAAGTTAAAAGTAAAATATTTTCGGCTGCATAACTGTTTCTACCCAATTACTATACTGATCATCAAAAATAATATAGACTATAGAAAAGAGACTACGTACACTGACAAACAAAAAGAATGTTTATTTTAACAAAACAGAGATATATAAGAAATTGGTTTACATTTGTATTGTATTTTTTTAGAAAGACTTAATATGCTTGTAACAAATAATCTACTTCAGCTTCCGGGTCAATGACCCCCATCGGCCATTGACCCACAAGCTGGAGTAGATTATTCGATCAGGTTTTTGACCAGTTTCCCTGATACATTGAGCAAATGCTGGGACGGCCTCTTCTATTGATTGTGGTCGTAAATGTAGCTATACTATGGGCACGTTTTGTTAAACTCTCCTTTTGCTTATCGTGATATGAGTAGAGATAAGGGCGAGCTACTATTTTGTTAGCAATGCAGAAAAATCAAAACGGCAGTTCGTTTACCGTTGCTAATAAGTTTTCTACAACTCGGGAACTAAAATCTCTAGTTTTTTCAAATGTTGTTAACTTTGCTCTTTTTAATTTTATTTTTATTTATTTATTTTTAACTTTTACTCATCTTTCAAATATTTATAGTTAAAATGATGGAAAAGAATTCTGGTACTCAAGAAAACGTGCTCAGATGATCTTCTCCCCCGTACGTCACACACAGTTTTCACTGTTTTTTGATTAAATAAATTAATCTAAATAAAATTCTTATTTGTAGTATGAAGAAAGGATTTAATAATTACTGGTGAAATGAACAACAAATAATTGAAACACAAGTTGTCAAAATGGAACGTTTATTGCATTGGTAACTACGGTGTATATCACATGTTTATGTAGCAATAATTTTCACTTACAGGAACTTGCAAAATCGGTAATCTTTTTTTGCCTTAAGGAACTGAATCTGCTTGATGATGCAATGGAATGATGCGTTTGCGACGCTACGTTGCTGTTTTCTAACATCTCACGCTACGATGCATTGTCTGGTATCCTATAGATGTATTTGTATACAATTCATTTTTTCGGATAATGCGAACAAACCAAACTATAACTAAAAGTGACGGTTGCATGTGTTTTTCTTCTTTAATATTTTTTGTCACGAAAAATGACAAAAATACCGGTTTTTGGGCTGCTTCAAGCTATAGTATGATTTATTTAGTCGTGCACATGACACATATCAACTGTGCGGTTTTACCCAATCAGGAGATTATATGTCGCTGCAGTGATGTCACTGAGGGCGCTAAAGCTCCCGATTGGATGAAACCGTGAACAGCAGATTTACTTTAAACGCACGGTTGAATAAATCCTAGTTAAGTACTGGGGTCGAAAACTTTGTTATCGTAAAATTACAACTTTATTTTAGAGAAAAAATATTTTTTTATTCGAGGAATTGTACCTACACGTAACCCAAAACGTTTTTAAACCATTTTACGCAGAGGAAAACCTTTTATAAAGAATGATCTCGACGCACTAAAAGAAAATCGACATATATACAGTATTTTAACCATTAGCTCGTGGCACAGAGCACAGTTTTGTCTATGGCGGCATCCAGCCACTTGCCAGGCAGAGGAGACGGTGCTGCCCTCAGAAGCTCGAAGTCACATATTCTAGACTTACTCTCTACGTGTTCTAGATATCTCCAGTATATATTTTTTCGATAACGATTTTGAAATCTTCTAATTTTTGTTTTTAAAGTAAATATACAATCTATTTCATACACAAATAATCAGTAAATATGAAATACAAGCTTTTCCAAGTTTGACAATGTTGGCTTCCATGGTCACTGTCAGTTTCAATTTTTTTATATTGGCAAAACTGTTTGTTTACGTTTTGCTGATACAACTTTGTCGCGTACGCCGTTTCGCCTTTGCGAGTCTCGAAGAGACTTGCGTTGTGTGCGGTTGTGGATGAGGAGCGCGTTTGTGGTTTTATAGAGAACCTTATCAGTATTAATTGTAGGTTTCAGGCTTTGTATATTTATTTTATGAATAAGACAGGTCATAATTTAAATCAAAATGAGTGATAAAGCTCCTGATAAAAGCACACTTTTGGCCGTTCTGCAGCTTCTGCGAAAGTACAATTTGAAGGTAAGTGCTTATGAATGTCAACCCTTTTATAAAATAAATAGACAATTTATTAATGAATTAATAAATTAGACCGGGAAATAATAAGCATATGGGAGACATATTTACAATTTTCAAAGGTGTGAACTGTAATCTGACAATTATTAGCTTGTAACTGAAATTTTGTTTAATTAAACATTGTGTTGACATCTACAATTCCCTAATTGGTTCTTTAAATTTCAGGGCACCGAAGAACAACTTAAAAAAGAAGCTAATATTTCAAGTGATACTTCAGGAGAGACAGCTCAAAGTGAATCGGAAGTGAGCAGTGTTCTTTCAGCCTATAAGAGCGAAGGGGATCCTGAAGTTTATGAAGGTTCCTACACAGAGTTAAAGAAATTTGTTGAGGGTGCTTTGGATATTTACAAGGTAAATCACTTATTTGACGTGCCTTTAACAATGTCTAAAAATCATTCAGAGGTAATATAATTAATTATCAGCTTCATCATTTTTGTATATTTAATTCTGAACTTTCTCTCTCTCTGTTGTATATTTTAATTTAATGTGCTATTGGTATGTAAAACTTTTATATTAAAAAAAACTTTCATCAGTGTGAGTTTAGCCCAAGTTCTTAGTGCTTTAGTTTACATACATTTTCAAAAAAAACCACCTTTCTCATGGCAAATGGAGGTCTCTTTGATCGTTTACTTGACGGTCAGTTTTTTGTCATTTAAAGAATTTTTTTTTATTAATTAATTTCATTGATTGTTAATTTTCTACTGATTTGTTTTATGTTTTTTAAATAATTTTTATCAAGGTTTTCTTATTTGCTTAATAATAATAATAATAATAATAATAATACATTATTATTTGTATAAATAATGAAGAGCTTGTCAGTAATGTTTCACTAGATATCTTTCTGAATTCTCTTAGAGCCCACTTTCATTAAATAATATTATTGGTATGTTGGCGTTAATAAATTGATAGTTGTACCCTCCACATCTTCATTATTACAGTTTTGTTTCATAAGCATACTTGGCAGAATCGCCTAAAGAGATGTTTTGTTTTTTGCGCATGTCTCTGATCACCCCTCCCCATTCCACCCATTGTGTGTAGTGAGGAAAGCTTCCTATATGTGAGCCATATCCCTGCTTACCTAAATGTCTTCTCTCAAATGAGAAAAACAAAGAAACAGGAAAGTTGATGCAGCTTATGACCTGACGGTCGCCTGCTCTACTGTCTTGACATGTGAAGCACAGCTGTCTTAAAAGGTGGAAAAAACATGTGGTTGCCAAAATGTCAAAACAAGAACAAGTGCTCTCAGACATGGGTTGCGAGTTAAGCTAAACATTCTGAATAACACCATCAGACTTTATGTACTGTTTTCATTATTTTTTATTGTAAAGAAATAAAACAATGGATGTAATGTTCAAATATGCAAAGATGTTTTACACATATAATTTGCCTAATAGCTTAAAGATCATATTAGTGCCCATTCTAATTTAACTTATGTTTTTTTTAGGCTGTCAGGTAAATTGTGGTAACAAGCCATATGAAAATTATTACGTAATCAAAATATTATTGTTATAACACAATTCTTTTTTTCTCTTAGTCTTGCCCCCTCAAAATTGGATACTCGTAGTCCGGTGTAGTGCTATTATAAGATTTTATATTCCTCTCTTGTTCATTTCCTAATTTCTTATTAAAAGACTCACTAAATCACATGCAGTCTTTGACTTGTCTAGCAAAATATTTCCATTACATGATTTATCCAGGAAGTCACATAGATGGTATTTTTAGATACATATTTCAATTCATTTATAAAGTATATAAATCCGAATTTTAAATATTTATGTACATTTTAATTATGCGTGAGGAGTGCATAACATATGTTGGAATGTATGTTGACTGTTTATTTTTCCTCATTCCATAATCTCATGTTAGTATAAAATCTCATGGAATACAGGAATGGTATTGGAAGTGCCTTTTCCCATCGATAGATCGCATTACACAAGTACATGTTCACATGTTTGCATTGTTCCAAGATGGGCACACTGATGGCTGCTACAGGATTTGTGATACACTTATCAGAAAAGGATTGAGAACAAGTTACTGGGAAGCCTATCCTAACATAACTTTATAAATCATTGATTTTGTGATTTATCAGTGATCATATACATAATGTTTTTTATCACACACACAATATTAAAATCAAATTAGTTTTTTCAACAGACCCAGATTTAAATCAATACCTCAATGACGCATGAGAAAAAGAGGGAGAAATACTCAACATTGAAAAAATTTTAAGTTTCTATGAAAATGAAGGATTTAGCACTGTATTAACGGCATAGAACCAAATTCACATAAAGATTGCAGAAAAATTAAGATCCACATAAAAAGTAATTTCAAAATACAAATAAGCTTAGTGTAAAACATCTTATTTTATATAATTGCTTTTTCAGTAAATTACGCTTATAAGTAGTATGTAGTATTCAAAATAATTTTTCAAATTAGTGTTAAAGATGATTTTAGGTCGTTTTATTTAATACAAATCAATCTAGTCAGAGATCCAGTTGGAAATAGGGAATTGGCTCACTTATTTCAAATATCAGTTATGGATGACTGGTTAATTAATGAATTAAGTTCAAAGTTTTAGATTCTGACTCTGGTTATGTATTGTTTAATCAAGGCTGCCCCTGGATAAGCTTTTGTGAGGATCCTGCCAGATGTTTTCAGCCCACAAAAATGTTTTTAAATTTCAAAAATATTGATTCTTGAGTATGTAGTTTTTCTCTAAATTTTACCTGCAAGCACTAAATAAATGCTACCTGCATTGTTAAGAATCTATTAAGTAACTGAATAGACAAAAATATTAGAATATTTTTTAATACACGCAATAATAATTCTTTTATTAGAAATGTAATAAATGCTATTATTGTTACCAAAGGAGTTTAAAACGTTGCTAACTTTATATTTCAATACATTTAATCCCTAGAAAAGTTATGACTATTTGTCAGTGTCAATCATGCGAAAAGGTAGATGTGGAGATTTATTGCTTAATTTGGCATTGCATAAATTGGTGATACTGGTGGTCAGTCATTGCCGCAATAAATTATCAAGGTGTTATAACATTGAATTTAATAATTACAAGTTTAAAATTTCTTAGTTATGTCGATTTATTATTTTGAATTTTAAACAAAGCATTGCTAGCAATCATAACCTCATGCACTTCAAGCAGGACAGTTTGGTAAAAATTTTGAACTTAAAAAAATGTATTATGATGATAACAGTAATAATAATAACAGTAAAAAGAAATCACAAATGATTAAAGAAGAAGAAAAAATAGTGAGTTGTTGTTTGTTGCTCCACAGGCCCCCTGAAAGCTCGGTCCCCAGGCATTTGTTGGGGGTTACCTCTTCTTATGGTGGCCCTGATTTAGTTCTCATGAAGGGCTTACCTCCCTAGCTGTCTGAGACTCAATTATCAGACCACTAATTATCAAACTGCAAACTGTCATAGATCCTTATGTCCCATTCACTTACATTTGATTTTATAACTCCATCTTTATTACTTTTTAAGGATCTATTATATTCTGTACTTTTATTTGTGCTTTCCATCAGGCTTGAGCTGCTGCTGTAAGTAAATGTATATAATTTTTTCAGCATGAACTGGGAATGATTTTGTATCCTGTGTTTGTACATATGTATTTGGAACTAGTTTATAATGGACACGAAGAACAAGCAATCAAACTAATGCAAAAATTTGGCAAAGATCAAGAAGAATATTATCAAGAAGACATAAAAAAGCTTTCTTATGTAACAAAGAAAGATCATATGAAAGGAAATGAACTTACGGACACTTTTAAGTGAGTACTTGCATGCAGAAATAATACACTAGCTGAACTTAATATCTGTTATATCTTTCTGGTATGTGTTAACTTCGTTATCAAGTGTTTGTTGCTTAATTTTTTTTTGTTTTTTCATGGCATTTATAATGTTATACTTGTTGCAGGTCTAGTGCATTTATTATTCGCATGTCTCGAGATACATTATCGATATTGAAAAGACACTTGCAGGAAAAGAAACATTGTGTGGTTTTGAATATTGTACAAGAACACTTGTATTTTGATATGTATGAAGGTGTTGCACGTAACAAACAACAAATTGATGCAACCTCTGGTGCTGTTGTTGGAGAAGCCACAAGACAAGGTTATTTTTTATGAGTTCTTTGTGTCTCCTAATCTTCTTGGTTCTTAGCACTCGTGATATTCAAAAAATTCATTTTGAACCCAATTATTATTTTTACTTAAATTAACATTTACACATAAAATAACTTAACTCTTTAAATTATTTTTAGACAACAAAGCCAAAGTATACTATGGATTACTAAAGGAACCTGACATTCAATATTTGCCTGTGGAAGAGGAAGAAGAAGGAGAAGGAGATGGGACAGACAAACCCAAAAAGAAGAAACCAAAGAAAGACCCCTTGTTTTCAAAAAAAACTAAATCAGATCCCAATGCTCCACCGGTAGACCGAATGCCTCTCCCAGACTTGTAAGTGTAACAAATTTTTGAAAAATATACGTAAAACATACTGTAAAATTTTCATAGAAGGTAAGGTTTCATACAGGGTAAACATAGGGAAAAGGCTTGTCACTTTCAAATAGTTAATTCTTTTCACGTGAGTTTGTACTAAAAAAAAGAAGTGAATTTTGAGTTCAGAAACTAAATGTATTTGTAGCTATGATTAATGTAATGTCTGCTATTATGTTCCTTTGAAAATTTTGTTTAAAATAGTTACCTGTATCATTTCCATAATGAGCACAACTACAGATTTCACCTCTGGGCAATGTTAAAGGAAAAACAATTATGGTTTGTTGTTTTCTTTAACGTTAAAATCACATTTGTGAATTGGTAAACATACTTGGATGCCATGGCTCACGAAATTGAATGATTAGGAATTATGCAGGGAACATACGGAGCAACAGATTCAAGTAACTGGGTGGCATCCTGAATTCATTTTGATTTTAACAATTCAAGAGAGGATTAGATAAAAAAGGAATAAAGAACAATTTAATGGAAGAGATTTAAAACAAATTATTTCTGGTAGTACTCTGTTATAATGTCTAATTAATTAGTACGTTCAATATCTTAACTGTCGATCTGTATGGCCGAGGTGGCTAAGAGGTGTATTGAATCAGCACTTCAGTCTGCAAGGTCGCAGATTCATGTTCTGCCTTGGGCATGGTTGTTTGTCCCTTGTCTCGCATGTATGTGTTGTCGCGGAGGGCCTCACATTCTGTAACCCCAGATCAGAGGAGCTCGAAAGTGTGTTGGCATCCAGTGTAAGGTTCAATATGAGTTCGATTGGGACATGTAGGAGAAACTAGCTATCAGCTGGATAAAATCCCTAGGAAGAAGAAAAAATTAAATTCTAACTGTTTGTGACAATGTTTCTTGCCTAATTTTATAAGTGAAATAAGACACAAGTTATTTTTACTTAATATTGGATTTTTGCATTGTTAATGTGTTTGGGCAGAAATGGAAATACAAATGAAAATATATTTTAGTGACCTTTTAGAAAATGTTAAGACTGTAACTTCTTAAATACGTATTGTTTTTAATTTTTCTATTGCTTTTTCAAAAATATTTATAATGCTTAAAGTATTTGTAAATTAAAACCTCATTGGCGCTATAATGAACTGAAGAGGAATACGAATAAATTGCTCTTTAGACCACTCCCTATTGGAGGAGAAAAATAAAGTTTAAAAAAAAATCTCTTTGGGAGAAAATTTTGTCTCTACTCTTCTCCCAAGACCTAGGAAGTAGCAGAATTATTCTTGTTTAGTTTCTGCATTAATTTTTCAGTATTATTTTCTATGACATAGTTTAATATCATAGTTATTTCATTTAAAGCATTCAACATAAAAATACTACAAATCTGAAATTTTCATTTTTTTATTTTGGCTTGAAATGCATGGTATGGAGCATGGTCCACTTGCTCCAGGGATGTTTCAACCCTACTTACACTGAAAGGTATAAAATGCCTTGCAAACCAGTCATATTTAGTTCTGACTCTTAAAAAGAACTCTATTAAATGTAACTAGATATTAATATGACATATGGCTAGCAGAAGAGACATTTCACTCTTGTTACAATTCAAAAAGTGAATTCCTTAACAAGAAACATTATTTCCTAAAACATTACATTACAAATCTGACAACACCGAAATAAGGCAAGCAAGTAGACTTTGTATTTTATTCTAACTTGTATGAGTCAATGAAAATAATAATTCATTTTATTTGCTTTTAAAGTTTCTTCCTTTTCATTTTTTTCAGGAAAGATTTTGATAAGTTGGAGAAAGTGAAAGCACTTAGAGAGGCAAGCAAGCGTGTTAATCTAGGGCCTGACACTCTTCCATCTATTTGTTTCTATACTCTGCTTAATTCACATAACATGTAAGTATAATACTGTTACAATTTCTTGCATCCAAAAATAAATACAATATATATTTGAATAATCCCCACAATTTTTAAAAAAATTGGTAGCTGAAAATTGAGGTGCAGATGTTAATTGCACCAAGATTGGTACCATGAACTTAGCTTTATCTTTCACTGGGAAAGAAAAATTATGTATGATAATGCAGTGTTATTTGAGGGTGCGGATTATTCGATATGGATTGTCATAATTTTATAATTCTTGAAGAATTATCAGTTTTTTATTGGTTTTGCAGTGTTACATGTGCAGAGGTTTGTGAAGATTCAAGTCTTCTTGCTGTGGGCTTTACAGATTCTATAATTAAAGTCTGGACATTAGTGCCCCAGAAGCTACGTCAAATGAAATCTACAGAACAGCTTCAGGATATTGATAGAGAAGCAGGTTTGATGAAACATTTTATTGCACATTGTACAAGCTGAGTTTAGTGGTAAAATCATAACTTCTTGTTATTGTCCTTGTCATTGTTGTTTTAATTAATTAATGTTTTGTGATAATACTGTGATTTCTAATTTGGGAAACTTTTGAATATCTTCATTGAAGAGTTACATGATGAAAAATAACAAATTAATTATGATTCCCTTTTGTGTAGATGATGTATGGGTTCGAATGATGGATGATCGCACTGCAGAAACATGTCGGACTCTTCATGGCCATTGTGGACCAGTGTATAGGGTTGCATTTAGTCCTGACCGAACATTACTGCTTTCTTGTTCTGAAGATACTACAAGTAAGTATATCTCTCTAACAAATTCAAAGAGTTGCTCTGTGTCTGGTTTAACAAAATATAATTTTCAAATTTCTCTGCATTTCTCGTCATTTGGTAAATGGAAATTAAATTGAACAAAAATTCATGGAAGGATTTTAAAGTTTCAATTCTCAGTAACTTGTAATAGAGTAAGAAAGTTGTAATGATTTTCTCCAATGAAATGCAAACTGCACACTTACAATCAAACCACCTCTCAAATTGAAATGTGGACTTTTGGTATTGGTTGGAAATTGAAGCAGGTTCCTTCCAAAATACTCCCCCTACTATCACAATGTAGCGTAGAAAGTTGTTCTCAAGGAAGGATTCTACATATTATTACATCTTAATTTGTTTTTAGTCTTTCCATGTTTCTTTTAAGACATCATTACAACAACTTTTCAAATTAATGAAAGCTTATTTGTTTTCTGGTTGTTAATGGTGTTTTAAATTATTCTTTTGTAATATGCTTCTAGTGATTATTTTGATAAATGTCTTCTTGTTATCACCTTTTCAGTGAAGTAGTTGCTGTGTGTAGCCAAACCTTGCGGAATCTCAGATTGAGAAATCTGGATTTAGATTCCTGTTCCCTTGGAGATAATCTCTTTTCTCATTTAAAATGTAGTTGAATTTCTGCTTTGGTTGTGTAAAAATAAAATAAAATGTTTGCATGTGTTTTTCAGTTCGCTTGTGGAGCTTGTACACATGGACATGCCTAGTAGCGTACAAGGGACATATATTTCCTGTATGGGATGTACGATTTGCGCCACATGGCTATTATTTTGCTACTGCCAGTCATGATAAAACTGCTCGTCTTTGGGCCACTGATCAGCATCAACCATTGAGGATATTTGCGGGACATTTTTCAGATGTTGATGTGAGTATGAAATCGTTAAGAGGTGTGTTCAAGAGAACAAAGGCAAGAAATTCATTAATGCAAAAGGTTTAATTTATTCCATTTCCAAAATATACTGTTATTTGGTTCTGCATAGTTCCTCAGAAGTAATAGTGATGCTTCATTATATAAGATTTAACGTGTGCTTTTGCTTGGTCTTTGAAGCACCTTGCACAATGTCTGAGGAGTCCATTTATCAGTAGATGTGGTCATGACCTCACAAAATTATAAAAAATGAAGCCTTTTCAATATTTTAGAAAAGAATTGAGTATTAGTAAAAATCTACAGATATTTGAATGATAATAGTAAGAAAAACAGCTGAGAAATTGCATGTAACAATGAGAACACGAGGGATTTGCTGTTATTAGTACATCAAATTGAGAGCTCTAAGCTGCTCACAGTGACTCATCTCATTACTTCATGCATTATGCCTTTGCACATCGATAAGCACTCCAGTCTATACTGCATTCATAGAATATCAACTGTTCCCTGCAAAGTTTGTTCAAATGCACCATTAGGACATTGTATGATGTGTGAAATTGTTTGCATGCAATTTGCATTGTTATTGTGTGCATGCTGATGATTTTTGAGCGTTTTCTTTTTATTTTCTCGCACATACTAACGTAAGATGAGAAAGTATTGTAATCGTGTGCCAGAAAAAAGCAAATTTTGGGCACAAAACTCTTTATTTCTTGGTTTGTTCTTGTTTTAAGGCTTATTTTTTAGGTGTCGGACACTAGGAAGGAGCTTGAACATATTGCAGTTTAACCGAAACAAAAACTATTTGGTTCATTAACGTTTAAAGAGAAACTTTTGATCAATTAAAAATTTTTGCTTTTGATTGTGAAATGAATTTTTCTGATAATTTGTTTGCTAAGTTGCATACAAATATTTTTGAATCTCTGAAGAAAAAGAAGAGATTGAATTACAAGATTTCAAGATAAATCCCCATTAGAATAGTAACAAAAAGATAATAAATATATAAAATAAAATAAAGAAACTATTTTATTACATTTGTAAGAAACTTTTGTGTTCAGTTCAGTTAATATGCACATACCAGCTCCAACAGCATCTGGAGATAGAACTTTTTCTGTTTTAAACATAATACATAATTATAAAAGATAAACACAAAGAGAAGAACAACTGCTTGTCACTTCCATTAATCGAGAAAGAAGTCCTGGAAGAGGAGGAAAAGATAATTTCTACAGTGGTCATTCAAAACTTTGAAATGCATTATAATTTTATATTTTTAATTACATGTAATGTTTGCATATACACAAAAATGTATTACAAATTCATGAGTGCCACTACAACGGTAACATTACAGATTCCAAGGGCATTAGTTTAGAAGAGAAATTTTATACACTTTTATGATTTTAAATAATTTAGAATCTACAATAATGATTAATTTCAATCAAGATCATTGTACAATTTAGTAGCATTGTCTAGTGTTCCTTGTTTCTATTTTTCTTCATCATGTCAATGCCAAGTTTATTCAAGTCTAGCAGTGCCATTGCGAAAGGCTCCGATGTATCAGAGAGGGCTGTTTCTGATTAGCTGATCCAATGTATCTGATTAGCTGTTGCATTCCACAAGATAATGAGAGTACAGGCTATCTACACGGCTATCTACAGCACACATTGGGTATGCAACATCTGTTCGTGTGACACAGCTTGTTTTTTAGTCATTGGCAAGCTTATGGGTGATGGCTCATCAATGTTTGGATACAGTGCTCATCACATCGCATGAGATAACATTCTTTTGATGTGTGGAATACTGATATGGCAGTGACAACCAACTTTTTAATTTTTTGAAGAAGAACGGCCATGTTTTGTTTGCAGAAAAAGCAATAATCATTATAAATGATAACTGAATACCAAACAAATTTTAAAACAACGATTTCATTGCCTTAAGGGAGGGGAGAAGATTTATTATAACGAAAGAAAAATAAAAAAGTAAAAGAAAGTGTGGTTATAAGCATTTAATAATCAGAACACCCTAAGATATTGCCCCCTCCCCAATTGCTTCAAAAAGGCATTGGGCAAAAGTAGTGATTACCACACGATAATGGATGCCTTGCTACTGATTTGAAATAAATTCTTTCCCAAATACAACACTTGTTTCCGTTAAATTTGAGTCTCAGTATCAGTTGTAGCACTTTTGAATGTAATGTGTGGAATGTGCATGTCTTGCAACCTGGATATGTCAGTATTGTTCATTTACAGCTATAAGTTAATGGCAGCAGTAGCTTGTTTTTATTTCATAATGTAATGGCTTTTGAGTGACAAAAATGAGTTTTACTTATCTTCGAAAATTATAAAGTTGTTTTTTCCTCTCCTTCAGTGTGTTCAGTTCCATCCCAATTCAAATTATGTTGCTACTGGTTCAAGTGATCGGACAGTACGCTTATGGGACTGTGTGACAGGAACCCATGTGAGACTAATGACCGGCCATAAGGTGAGCTATTGTTTTTGTATATTATATATTTTATAATATAACATTATATAATAAATTCAATGACAAGCAATGTAATGTTCAGGTATTAAAGAAGCAGTGTCACTGCAAAATAAATAACAAAGATAAAAGGAACATAATCAAACAACTTTCTATGTCATGAATTTTTTCTTTACTTTAATGTTGGATTCAAGACTGATAATCTGTAATAATTAGAGATTTTTCACGTAAATACACATTTTTACATGGAAAAGAAACCTGAATATTTGTTAAGTTTACAAGACATTCTGAATGAATTAGAACCATTTTTATTTTACTTATTTTGGTGTTATTACACATTTTACCTAAACTACATATTTTGTTGCATTTAAATATATTTAAACTTCAAAACAGAATATTTCAACAATGCAATATATGTAATTGGAATAATCTTTCTTACAAAGCAATGTAATGCTAATGCCCTTTTACGACCACCAGACCTTCGCCTTGAATTGTCAAACTTATTCCCTCTGCTTCTTGGAAACTGTGTTTATGAAGCAAAATAATTGTGCTTACACAAATTCCACAGAGCCCACATGTAACTTGGATCAAAAACTAACATTTTTTTATAGATCATAATCTTTTCGTGTTCTTAGATATGGGAGGGTATGTTCCCTTTAACCTCTCCCTCTCCAGGATCCATCACTGGCTATGTGGTAGTACTATTCACTTGAGCAGTGACTTCTCGTAAACTTGTTTATACAACCAATGTATTTTATATTTTGAATAAAACTATTGTAAGTGGTGAAAACTAGGGTACAATTACTTCTGTAGAGGAAGTATCTTTCAGAAACTCTGAAACCTTATTAAGATCTGATCAATGATGTTGTGTGCTTGGAAAATGTGTGTTCAGAGTAATTTTACATATTATAATGGATTTTTATTTTACATATTTTCTATTTTTCTTAGATATTTGGTCAAAAATAAAAACATATATGTAGATATTTTGCTTTTTTATTACAATAAATTCCATTCCCTAACTATACTTTGATTTTTGTAATGTGGCATTTCAAGGTCATGCACAAAAAAGGGAATCGAGAGGCAGCTTCCTATTGCGGCATTCCCTCTCCCCCCCCCTTTTTTTTGTGCATAACCATGATACATTACATTAAAAAAATTGAAGCATATAATCAATTTTCATACATACACTTCTGTCATTTCCCATTAGAGTGATCTTAAACATGAGCGCTGCTAACTGCATATTTCGGTATGATATAGAAACTAAATGAAACAAATCTCAGGAATGGATATTTCAAATTCGCATATTTCATCAAATTATGCGTACGTAATAGGCCTTTCTGGGCCTTTTGGTTAAATTTATTAAAAATAAATTGACATTTTTTTGTAAAAAAACGTATTAAAAAACATAATCAGGGAAAATTTAGAATTTGTTTGTTGCATTTATTTCCAGTAATCTGACTATGAGCCCTACTTGGTAGGTCATACTTAAGAACAGATTACAAATTGTAAACAATTAGATGCATTTTTTTAAAACAATTTGTAGATCTTTGGATTTGACAACAATTATTATCAATACAGGGAATTATGAGAAAAAAATATCAACAAATAATCAAATACTATAGTTAATTTCTACTTGAAAGGTTCTTATACTCAAAACTTACCCATGCACACTCACTGAAGCGAAAGGTAAATTTTGTCATTCCACCTCCACAACCAGTTACGCTCACTTTTTATGAAAATTAGTTACATAGACTAATGAGCAAGTACCTACTTAAATTATCTTAATGGTAAAGACTATAATGGTGTATTAACACGCAATATAAACAAAAATAATTATTAGTGGTTTATATCTTTCGTGTGAAATGACATTAGCTTTTTATGGCGTTGATGTAATTGGCACAAAGTTTTGTTGTTGTTGTTGTTGTTTTTTGCCATCAGTATATTAGTTACCGATGATAATATAGCAACTTTTTTTTTTCCAGGCTCCCATTTATGCCTTGTCTTTTTCTGTAGAAGGGCGCTTTCTAGCTTCTTCTGGCGCTGAAAGCAAGATATTATTATGGGATCTGGCTCATGGACACTTACTAGCTGAACTGACTGGACATACTGCTCCTATTCACACTTTGGCATTCAGTCGAGATGGTCATATCCTAACGTCAGGTAACAAATCACATCTTGTATATGAAAACTAGCACTTTTATGAGTATGTTAGTAAGGTCAACTTGCATTACGTTCCAATTATGTGTTTCTGTTTAAGGTTCTTTGGATTGTTCAATAAAATTATGGGACTTCACGAGGCTTGCAGAAGAAATGGCTTTAGAAGATGTGAATATATCTCACAATCCAGACATTAAGAAAAGTGACAGTTATTTACTTCGATCTTTTGCAACAAAAAATTCAGCAATTTTGAGCTTGCATTTTACTCGTAGAAATCTGTTATTAGCTGTAGGTATATATGATTCATGACCAACATCTAAGACTGGTCATTGAATTTTTTAAGGAAAGTTTTTGTGACATATTTATTTATCAAAGAAAATGTACATTTCAATTTGAAAACGTATGGATGTATGTGATTGATTGTTGATGGGTGAAAATGAGGTTATCAAGAGAGTATCTGATATGAAATAAGCTGGTAACTGTTGTATACATGCAATTGTATTGAAAGTTTTTAGTGTTACTTTGTTGATATTTTTATAATTTTTTGAGAGGTTTTCTGTCTAATAAACAAGATTATCTTTAAGGATTTATTATTTAATTGCTGAATGTAGCAATTCAGAAGTTTTACTTTGCAATTTTATCTTACCATTTAGTCTTTCAATACTATTCCCAATCTGATGTAACATTGCTGGTTAAATGGCACATGTTTTTTTGGACTTTTTTGGTGAAAACATAGTCAAGACAGTTCTTTACAAAAATATTGTTTTTAAATAACTTTTTTGTATTTAAATTACAAGCTGTAGAATTGTATCCAGTTTGGTGCTTCAGGAGGATCTTCCCTTTTCTCATCTATCTTCTTGATGACTGACATTTTTTTATTAAAATCCATTTTTCTACAAACTGAAGATAAAATATTGCTTTCAATTCTTTCCATGAAACAGAAATGTCTTACTCTACTCCTTCCCATTCCTTTGAACTTTATATTATATTACCTTTATAAGGCAGGCATTCATAATATGTATGTTTTACATAGTGTTGACAATTTTGTATACAAATATGTGCTAAGTGTTATATAATGTTCACCTGCTGTGAATTAAATAAGCATCTTAAGCTAGTGTTGAAGCAAAATAACATTTTAGTTTAATATTACAGTTATAATTTCAAGTGCAATATGAATCCACGCTTGTTTTATAGGAAAGAGTAAACTCTAAATTTTATCTTTGAAATATGTGTCTTTATACAAGTGACTTTTCTCTCTCTCTCAAAAAAAAAAGAAGCTAAAAATAATTCAAAAATATTGATTTCATAGAGTAACAAAAAATATTTTCTACTTTCAGTTAAAGATGATCAATATAGAGTGAGGTAATCTCCAATCTAGATTTATTGTAAGCTACATGCTTCTACTTTAACATTGTGTTTCATAAAACAAATAATCTAAATTTCTACATGTCACTGTCTTTAAAGAAATATTTCAAAAGACAATAAAATCTCTTCTTTAAGGAAAGGATTGAATAATTTGGTAAGCATGTAGCATCAATAAAAAGACAGAACTACCCTGTGATACGTAAAATAAATTACCTATGTCACTTTTCAAGCACAATGGGAATACTATTTCATGATGAGTGGCACAACAACGTACGAACAATGTCTGATTTTTTCTTTGTGGGTTGTTACATCCTGGTTCAAGGAATTGTGAAAATCCACACATACCTACTTACTAAATTTTGAAGGATATGTACACCCCTCATTCAAAACACTAAAAACAAGGAAAATTGTCCAAAATTATACAATAATACTCTTGGATAATTTGTTAACCTGTACCTTATACAAAAACCATTAGCCACAGTTTCTAACAGGGATATTCCAGTACAAGGTTAAAAATTCAAATAGAATTGGATGAAAGTAATTTGCTGAAATTAATATACTTCCCCGAGTAGGCCAGTAATAATTAAGCATTCGATTTATTTTTGTAGGTCCTAAATCACTACTGCGACTGACTGCTAAGCTTCATATATGGTTCTCGCAATACCGTCGGGGAACGAAGGTATCTGTATAAGGGCATATCAAGATATTACGATACTACTTCTATTTTGAGTGAACAACAAAAACAAAGAGTATGGATTCTATTACGAATAACTGAAAACAAAAGATGACCCGCAGAAAACAGTTTCTACTTGCAGTTCCTGTAAGGTCGATTCCAAATTGAAAGTGGATCGGTAACCTCAGCATGATATGAGGTGTGAAACGGGGATGAATAAAAACTGCATCTGTAGGGCCAAAGAACTAATTCCAACAACAGTAAAAACTTCTTGGAGTTTCTCAGCTGATATTGTAAACATATGTCGAGGGCTATATCACGTGATACAGATGTAGCGCATGCGCTAATATCTATCTGTCAGCCATATTGCTTTGTGGTTCTCTTGGATCCAGTGGTCGAAGGTGCTAAGGTATTTCCTTGAAATATATTTAATTAAAAGCCACGTCTTACTCCCTTGTCTTATTTCTAAACTAATTAATAAAGTGCGCTCATAGTGTGAGGAATTGCCATCTTAAAGTGCAGTGGTTTGCGTAGTGAGCCTTTGCACCACCGACCAGATTGGTTTTCTTCCGTGGCTACTTCTTGCTGCGATTTGCGATTCTTGTGGGTAAAAGACAATTAAAAGTAGAGTGTTATCGTACGCAGAGTGTACTTTTAGTGTTTATAGCTTGTGTTGTCTGGTGTCGTGAACTGTGTTACGTGGTAATTATATTGTTGAAGTACAGTACGATAGGTGAAGTTGATCACTTGCAATAGTAATTTTTTTAGTTCCCCCGAGGTTATTTTGGTTAGCCTACGTGTATACCATGCTCGATAAGGAACAAAGCATGCGATTGATGTCTTACCATATGTTTATATCAATTTACAAATGTTCTGATTCGTGTGTAATGTAATGTTAATGTTACACTGTAACAAGTGTAATGTGAAACTCGTCTATGATGTTAGTTAGTCTGTTGTCATATCTGGTTGCAGGAAATTTCGGAGAAAATGACGGATTCTCTTAAATTTGGTCCAGAGTGGTAAGTAATGTATGGATTGAATGACTAGTTTATAATTTGAAAATAATTCATGAAATAGTTATTTTTAGACAGTAAATGCTTGTTTTACTTGTAATTAAATATTCGCTGCCATCATATTATTATTTGCCAAAACTTGTACGATTTTTACTAATTCTATTTATAAAAAAAGATTTATACTTTAACTAATATTTCTACGTAGCAGAGTGTTCCAATCAAGCAGTAGAGCACATTTTATAATATTAGAAAAAAATTAAGAACTGTGTGTTAATGGTGATATGGGAGAACTGGTTATTAAATAATCAACATCCAAAAAAAAGAAATATGCAACTCTTGTGTATTGTATCAGTGACCAGTGGGGGGAAATGCTAGATAGTTTTAGCCATTTATTTAGAGATGTGTAAACATTTTACCTTTGATGGTTTAATTATTCTTCTGTAGGTTGCGCAACCTGTCTCAGGATGGGTGTGCCCAATCCAGTATATCTACTCCTCGGTATCAGTTAGCTGAACATCGTTATGGCCGAGAAGAAATGCTAGCATTGTTTGACCGTTTGGTGAAGGCTCCTGATACATTAGTTGGTGTACCAGCTTTGTACGTGGAGAAGACCCAGACACCTCTGGCATTATTGCAGATGACAGAGGAAGAAACAGTAAGATTTCTTTATAAACATGTAATATCTTCTGTATTAAATATGAGCTAAAGATTGTTATATTGTAATTATGGAAAATACAATACGAGTTTGTTTCATATTTTAAGAGATTGGATTGTGGAATATAGCAAGCTTAACTTTTCTGAGGCCTGAAAGGCATATATTTGTGTTTTATTAAGATTATTTTTTTCAAAATATTATTTTGTCTTAAAATTAGTATTTAGGTAGTGCAGTTTAGGTTTCATACCTATCGTGTTTTTTCTAGTAACTGCTTAATGAAGATGTCAGTTTAATTATTACATCCATACTTTGTTGCAAAAATTGGCAAATTAACTATGCACTCCATTGAGTAAAATCTATTTTGTTTTGGTATGTGTACAAAATACAAGTTTACTATTAGTGGGTACCTTCATAGATACTTAAAATAGACAAACATGCTTGACTGTTACATGTCTGTTTAAGTTCTCAATTTCATTGAGAATGAGGTAAATGATGCCAGGGACGCAGTGCATGGGATTGGTTGAAATACGAACAATTAAACATCATTTGCCAACAATTCGGCAATTCAGAATCTTTTAATTCCTTTATTAGGGCTGGCGTACAAACAAAAAAGAGTAAGAGGTATATTGTTTGCACACCACATTAAGGAATGAAAAGATTCCGAAATGTTGGCTAACTGATTGTTTTATTGTTCATATTTTGACCAATCCCTTGAACGCATCCCTGTATTTCATCATAGTCATGATCTCTACAATGGTTAAGTAAATTATCTTGAAAATAATATTATTTGGAGGTGTGTATAAAACCTGCTGTAGATTGTTAGTTATCAAATAATGTTGAGGGATAGAGTTTATATCAGAAGCGCATTTGGTTATGTATGAACAATTTTGTCAAAAGAATATGGATTTTATTTTTGACATGTTGCCTGTATGCGAGAGGTTTTATTATTACATTTTATATCAACGTAGAGAATGGTGCGTTTGTTGGCTTTTCAGCGTACATGGAATCGAGGGATAAACAGCGATGCAGTGCTCAGAATAGCTCTGAAAACGCCTGCAAGCGGAATCCCAGGTGGCAATAGAGGGGGCAGAGGTGGAAGTGTTGATAGAGGAAGAGGTCGAGGACGTGGAGGCTATCATTACACTCGAGGCCTTAGTTACGAAGAACCTGGAGAGGCTGGAGACATGAGAAGTGGGCGAGGAGGACCTGATCGAGGTGAAAGTAGTGGAAGCTCTGCAGCGGTTAGTTTCCCTCGATCAATACGTTCGTTTGATAGAACACAGGTAAACATGGTTATATTTATTATTTATGTATTTATTCCTATGAGAAAGATAGACAGTTAATCATTAAAAAAAGAAAAATTCTCAAAATAAAACATAGTTTACAAATAAAATATATAGGGTCAATTTTATCAATGCAATTCAATCAGTGCATGTAATCAGTGTGTGTAATTCAGTGATACATATTATTTGTCTTCAGAAGACTAGAATAAAAATGTTTTAAAACCCTGGAATTTAGATCTTGAAGGTAATAAAAAGTGAAATTGCACGTTAGAAGGTCCCAGAGTCAAAGGTGACTAAGCCACAATTATCACCAAAAAGAGTTAAGAGTTGAAGTTAAGATCATCTTGGCAATAATGATTATTAGTTTCACAATTTACTTTTCTTGGTCTCCACTTATTAAATACACAAAATTGTGAATCTGTAACAATGTAAGTTTTCAAAAAAAAAGCTTCATAATGAACAATAAATAATAGTCATGATTGGTGTTCACAGAAATTGAAAAGAATATAAAAGATTAATTTTTCAACATTTTTAAAGGTTAATATTAATATTTTCAATCTACAACAAAGTTTTATCACATCATAGCTGTAAATCTTCATTGCGGATTCATCTTTTTCTTGTTAATTGTTATTCTCTTAAAAATTTGGTGTGAGATCATGATCCTCATAATTTTGCTCACTTTCATAGTTTTTATAGAATGAGTGGTTAACGTGAGGAATTTACTCATGCAGTGTTAAGAGATCATTGTTTTTCCAATTGATAATTTCCTTCCTGTATAGTGTAGTTTTGGTGACTCAATATTACTGTCTGTATTTCTTCTGAATACCTACCTGAATACCTGACTATATTTCATTCTGATTATCTTTTTCCTCCTAAATATCTTGTTTCTTTGTGGTCACATCTACTGTGATAAAAGTCATGTCTTCTGAATCGGTAAATGTTATTTTTAGCTTCTTGGGCTCTCCTTTTTCTGAGGAGACTCTCCTGTTTCTTTTCAGTCTGACGAAATTTATTTTCAACCTCTCAACTTGAGATGCATCACTGGTGACTTTTGAAGTTCTATCACTGGTTCATAATATCTTCCTCCAACTTTGTAATGCTGAAAAAACCTTCTTGTTCTATTTAGATGAAACCAAAATGTGGCTCTAATCTGTGAATTATCACCATATCCAACCATTCATCTAGAATGAAGGGGTTAAGTTTTGAAGCAGTTCGATCTCTTGATAATTGGAAAATATTGATCATACAATGAAAAACTTCTAGTCGGTTATCTATTATGGGGGTGAACTCTGCAGCGTGTGGGATAAAAATAGAACAGTCGTGTTCCAATTTTGCCCCTCAGAAGCATCACTTCATACAAAGAAGCATGACACATGATTTGGCAGTTTTTTCTCACAATGTGTTTTGAAGCATGGTCCTAATTCCTGTGAACCATACGATGCACACAAAATAAATTATAGAAAATAATATTTAAACACTCCCTTGAATGTCGAGGTCCTAATTAAATATATTTGCTATTACCTGAAGAATCATTAAAAGGTTTACTTGCAAGCTGGTTTATAAACAGCTGCTGCTACAGAGACATCAGAATCTTCAAAGAAAACCAAAATGTTGTTTGGTGATCTTGCCAACGTCAGTTATTGTGAGTTGATCATGTTTACCTCTTATATAATTCAGCCTTTCAAGAAGTGCCAAAACACACACAGTAGATACTAATACATATAAAATTGAAAATTATCTTTCAGAAGGCATGACTATCATGAATTTTACGAAGTTGTGGGTTGATCACCTATGGTTCTGAGTGCATTTAGTGTATGGAAACTAGAGATCTTTTTTATGAGGTTGTGGAAACTTGCTCTTGACTTACCCATTTTGTATGTATTCTTAATAGTTTCTAGTTATGATTTAGGAGTTAAGTTATAAATTTTATAAAAACTAATTACCAAAATTTATGTAAACGACCTTGTCATGACCTCAGTTGATTTCATCTTGGGATTTCTTTTGTAAACTGATCTATTTGGATTATTTGTATTTTAACTGTTATGTTGTTATATATAGATTGCACCTATACTTTTATACTTGTTTAAGATGCATGCTGACGGTAAATCATATTTTCATGAGACTGAATTATTGTAATTATTTACTTCCATTCGTGATATATATGAGATAGAAATTAAAGTTCTATGTTTTTCTGATGTGTTCTATTACAATCTAGCAATAATTCTCGTTCAAGATTATTTACAGTACTTTTGGGTATATTTACTATTTAGTGTTTTCCGTATCAATGGCTTAGTTCACCAACGTATGTTCACTCATCATCTTTTTGAATTAATATCATTTTTGGAGACCTCATTCATATTTACTTACTTTACAATGATTATATGTCCATAGGAGGAAGCATTGATGCTCTATAAGTAACTGAACCTTACACACTTTCAAGCTTGGCTTTCTTAAAATTAGGAATTCTGGACATTCAATATGTGTGCCCTAAGCCATTAATATGTCCATGTGTAAGCTGAAAATTATTTAAGAGATGACTAAAAAATTATGTGTATAATCTGATAGATACACAAGGTACTATTTAAGGCAAATGGTATTGGTTAGAGACAGTTTTCAAGATGTTTGCTATCAAATCCATTTACTATCTGTTCTTCTTGCATGTCGCGCACTTCACTTAAACTTTTTTGTGAATTTAGTTTGTTTGAACATTATATCATTGGTTTTACGAGAAGCTGTTTAATATATTAATTGGTTATGTGCTCCCTGTTTCTATTTTTAAATATAACATCTTGGGCAATGTAATGCAATATACTAGTACGTAATACTGGCATACAAATGTTTCACGATACCCTGAGAACACGAATGAGGGTGGTCAACAGAAGACTTCAGAATAAATTGTAATATAATTGAAGGAACGTTTTATATATTTAAGAACTAATGTTACATGGAAATATAATACAGCTGTATATTACCATCATTTTCTTTGTGTAAAAATATTTTCAATTCTTGAGATACATGAAGAGCATATTCATATTGAACATTTTCTGAACTTGTGGTCCTTCTTGCTGACAGCCATGTACTATTTTAGAAGTATTAGTTCAACTCTCTTGCATCAACTGCACAACTATTCTCTACGCCAACAGATATTAAGATATGAATTCAACATGATTTTGGGCACAAAGCAGTTACACATAGCATTGATTTCAATTTTTGTTTTTCTTTTGTGTGCATCTGATACGCGTTGAAAAATGACACTATCACTAAGGGTTCAGATGGAAGACAGACATTCATGCAGAAAAATTCTTATCTAAACAAAGATTGAATGAGAAAAAAAAATATTGGACCATTGTTGATGTTTGGATCCTCCCTCTGAATGAGGCATTAACTCATGCCCCTTGTGAAACTTATAAGAACGTCATCTCATGTGCATTAATAGCTAAAAGTTAATTATTGAAAGAGGTGGTTCATATAGGATATATGTTTTCAGAGTTCTACTGCAGAGAGAAGTTGGGGTGAGAGGAACGGGGTGGATCCAGGGGACTGGAATGGGTCTACCAGTCCCCGTAAAGATTTCAGTGGAAGAGGGTTTATGGCCGAAAACTGGCGACGTCATCGAGGGGGTGGTGAAGATGATGAAGGGTGGAGGACAGCAAGCAGTAATCGAACTGAGAAGTGGGGTATGTATTACAGAATATATATCCTATAACTGCATTCATTAGACTTATTCAGCAATTATTGATGAAATATAGAAAATGTTTGCTGTGGTTCTCCATTGGTTCTACTGTTAGAAACTGAACTTAATGCATTGCCATGCAAGTACATGATTGGCCACTAGATATTGTTTAGTCTCTTTTTCAGTCTTGTGTTGTAAATGTATTTTAAAATCATTGACATGTAGCTTGTCATTAAAAAGGATCCTTTTTCTTTTGATTGGTGTGCTCAATGGTGTCATTTGTGGGTTTGGATACATTGATAGTGTTGAGATACACAACAACTTAAAAAAGAGCCAGCAAGCCTTGAGAAGATGAAAAAATTGAGAGTGGACTACACTACTAAATCCTTACAATCTCGAAAATATAAGATGTAACTCTCTAACATGTTAATTATAGTTTCCAGAACATACTTTGACCTAATTTCTAAAGAAATAGGAATGATGGAATGGTTGAAATCTTTAAATTTATAATTCTAGATGGAGAAATGAAGAAAAAACATTTTTCTCTCTTTATTTTCTTTTGAAAATTATCTTTTAAAATATTGTTGAAAGCTGTATGTTCTCATTAGATTTTATATGTATTTCGATTAACGCCTTTTTGTATAATAATAGTTGCTTAATTGAATCACATTGCGTGAATAGAGTGATTTTTATAAGAAAGGGCAGTTTCATCAGCTAGTGCTGACAACATAACTGAAGGTCCTTCATCCCATTTGACACTCCTCCCTTCATTCATTTGCAGTTGGCTAACTTGTAAATGGCTTTGATGCTTCCTTTGGTGATATCCGCGTCTGACAAAAATATAGTTCCCTCCAAGAAGTAATTGAACTTAGGGAGTACTACTGTGCTCTTCAGTTAAACATTTTTTTTATAAACATTACATAGGTGCACCCGTTTCCTGCTCCTGTGCTGTAAGGTGGCGAGCTGTGATCGAGAACGTTCCGTGCTTTGTGTTTTATCAATTTATTTTTTTATATAATTACATGGTTGTGAACCATGAGAAGCCATATCTTACCAGGAGCCATGTACAAACATAAACACTTTACAAAGAGGCGTGGCTGAACTGCTGTCACGGCAGAGGGATTTTCTCTGAATTACATGTGATGTTCACTTGTTTAGCGAACTGTCATTTTGGCTCATTCTTAAGTGGATTCTTCTGTAGTAAGTTTTGGAATAATCAAATGTCTAGCACGTATGTGTTAACTTTGGTTAAGTGCTAAAATGCAGCGAAACCTGATAAAAGAGCCACCTCCATTAAGTGGTTACCTCCATTAACTGCCATTTTTCCATGGAACCAATTTGTAAATATTCCCTCTTCAGCAAACCAGGGTTGATTGATTAATCTGTATTAGATGATCAGAATTTCCTGATGAATTTGCGATTCGATCCGTAACACTATAAGAAAAGAAAGATTGGCTGAGTTTAGTATTGATTAAATATCTTCCTTTTATAGATGTACTGTATTTTCTCTGATACATGCCCTCTGTGGTGTAATCTCCCTTCGGGTTTTTGGATGAAAATTTCGGAAAACTACAGTGTGTTCTTCGTATATTATTTGTTGCAATTATGTTTAAAATCTTCTAATTTTTTGTTTGAATGTTTATCTTCTATTCAGCTGTGTATTACTATATTTCACATGTGTATATTCAGGTTTATATTCTAGTCTTTTTTTATATATAAAATAAATGGGAGGGAAGAAAGATAAATAACACTTAACAACCATTATAAAACTGACATAGTAGAACTGATTCTCAACGACGTCACTAAGATTTTAAAATATACTGTATTTTCATACACATAATATTCTTATGTGAAATTATGTTTATGCAACTCAAAAAATTAATCTCTTGTTTATTTTGCTGTTGTGATATATTTTTTCGATTATGCTATAATTTAATCTGTGTTCCATATGAATATGTAAACTTGTTTTTTGTATTTTTCCCTCGTGTTTCAGTATTGGTCAGTCTATTAATAAATAAATACTCCAAATTCACCTGTAAATAGATTATGTAGGCCACCAAATGAAATTGAGCCTGATTTTGTTTAAAATATAGATATAGAGTTTAAAAATGAATGGAAGTTAAACCTATGGAAGTATGAACAATGGGTTGTTAACGTTTAGATGGTTATTCTGAGTCATTGGACCAGTATTTTATTTGAATTATTATATTGTAAATTTTGAGGTATATTATTTTATTACATTCTATATTTGTGAGATGTTGTTTAGTATTTGTAAATTACTGTTACTTCAGCACTTGAGTGGTAAATTGTGGACAAATTGTTAATAATAAATAAACTTATGATACAAATGTTTCAAGACACTGTGTTGCCTGATCTTTAGATACATCTAGAAATGTAAAAGATGCAACTTTCTACCTTTCCAAATAACATGGGATGTTTACTTGTACTAGTCTGAGTTTCAGGTTATCTATACCTCAATCGAGAAAGAACCTTATCTTCGGTTTTATTTTACATTTCAGGATGAGACGACACATCATCTCGAAATATTTGTACCGTAACAAGTTATTTTAAAAAAAATTATGAACATGAATAAATAGTTTATTTCAAATCTAGTCTGTCTAAAATATAGAGGTGTACTTTCTAAAACAAGTTCTGAATGTATAAAAATAGACACAATAATTTTCAAAATATTTCAAGACTGAACTATATGTTATGCTTGGTCTCTGGATCATTGTGATACTTGATCATCAGCAGGAAGAGAAAAAAGAATAGAAAAAAAAGTGTTGAAAAGTTATCTCCTAACCTGTCGATGTACTTAAGTGGCTTAAGAGATCCTCTGACTCCTTTTCGTCATTCTAATTCTATTGTAGTTGGCTGATGGGTAATAATATATTTGGTCTTCTTAAAACTATACTTTTTGTTACTAATAGCACATAATGCGTAGATGGAAACTAATAGATTTTTAGAAATTTAGTCCTACTATTGATTGATGAAATTGAAGCTCTACTATAGTCTGCGGCTTAGTTGAAGGTAAGGTGAAATAGACATTGGGCTAGGGTAATTAAAATTCCTTTAAATTCTGACTTTACAACACCATCTTTTTTGAGTTAGCATATGTTTAATACAAAATTTAGTTTCATTTCTGCAACACATGTGAACATGTTCTCTGTGAAAATTGTGTGGGAAGTAACGGCTATCAAGAGTTGAACTTTATTCAGTGAATATGTGTGAAAATTTGAATCAGGAACATATTGATTACTTGCTGAAGGGAATTATTATTGAATGAAAGAAATTATCCGTTTTTATCAGCAACAATTAATATCTATAGATTCAAGAATAATTGAATGTGCATGGACAGAAATGAACCCTACATGTAAGAGAAAGATGAGTTTCCTCACAATAAATATCTATAGAAGCAAATATACCCATACTGAATTTGTAGCCATGGATGAATAGCATAAAACATTTTAAAGAGACACCTGTGGGAATGGAATTTTCTCCTATAAATGGGAAATGGGTTTTTGGTATGTTTAATAAAATGTTATCATATTTTTAAAGATTTAATACAACGTATAAGATATTTTAAGCTTGAGAAAACATAAATAGCTTGAAGAACCTTGAAGTTGCCACTTGTTGTTTTGACCGGCATTGGCATTTTTGTGTGCCTAGTGGATTGTGTGCATAAGTTAAGCCAGCCTCCTGTGGAGAAACACCCTGGTAACACACAGCCACCTTGCCAATTATGCCACGATGAGAAAGCCCAGTGCTTCAGAATGAATATAATTTAAATGAACATCATGTAAATAATCGTAACTTCATCTAATAATCGTTTTTGACAATTTACTAATTTTATTACATATTTAGGCTTGGTAGAGGTATCGTATTTACCTGAATATAAGTAGTTTCTGAATATAACATGATCCCCTTAGAGAATTGTGAGAATTGTTTCATTTTTTAACTATTATTTCTAACACAATCTTTCCTAACTATATATAGTCCTTACTATTTGGTCAAAATTCAAAATTGTCTTATAGACCAGCAAATTGCCTTGTTGAAGAGAATAAGACTTATTACGGAGTGTTAAGACTTATTCTTTTTGATCCTCCTTCCATGCTGTGAAGTCGTCTGATTTTTAGCCCCCTCTGAAAGTTATGCGCATTGATTTTGCGTTGTTCTAAGTCTTTCATCAGATTCCATCCTTCTAGGTCACCAGATTTTCTAACTGTCCTGTTCTTGTTGATAGCCTGTTTCTTTAATGGTTCAAAATGCAGATTTGCACTTGCCGAAAACCACGATTCCATGTGGTCTGAGAACATGCACCATAACAAAAGCTCTGCATTCACTTTCACAATACGTTTCATTTGATACAACGCATTGGTCTGAATTACCTGTTAAATTCGTGATGAATGAAAGACTATCCTCTTTCCTTAGATTATGATATACTTACACAAAGGATTACAAAGCTTGAAAACATGATAATTTGTTACATAAATGAAGTCAAAATGATACTAGGGGCTACAACAATGTATACAAATGTATAATAAACTCTTAAAATAAGTGCACAGAACTGTTGCAGACATTTTCAAAGTATATTTAAAGGGTAATGTAAAGGCAGGAAAATGGGTTTTATTGTTTCATATGCGGCCCAGCAGTTGAAAAAATCTTAAATAAGTCCACAACGATTTGTGTTTTCAGAGGAATTTGAAAAATATTTTTGAGATAGTATGAATTATTTTCTTGTTTTTCATATTTTTCAATCAGATAAAATAGTGTTTAGTTGACAAAAAAAATTATAATAAATATATTGAAAAAAATATGTTTTTGGCTGTAGAGGGCATGTGTGGTGGGACGGGAGCTAAGATAAATATTTTTTTGTTAGAGGTATAGTGTAACTACTCATATATCATTTGGTTGAGGGGAACTTTTCACCAACTTACCAAGGGATACCCTGAATCATACATGCTAATTGTGATAATTAGTTTTATTTAATCTAACTAAATTCAG